CAGTGGCCACTACTAAATACCTCCATGCTTCAGATAACATTTGAATCATGCTATGATCTTCAAAGTTTCTTCTGCTTATAATGTAAAAAAATGACTTTTATTTTATCACTTTATTATTTATATCACTTAGATCTGAAATATTCTTGCCTGGTTTTATGCACATGATGAATATCCTTGGACTACTTGAGGCAAATCATATCAGACATTTGGATTACCCAATAGAGCTAAGGAGAGGAAATATATCTTCGCAGCTGATGCAATTTTGTTTAGTAACCAAGGATATCTTTAGAATACAGCAGAAAAAACACCAGACAGGAAGAGACTTGTAAAGGAACCCCAGATAAAGTACCTGAAATAAAGCAGACATATGCAGAACCAAACAGCTTAGGAGGGCCAGATAAATCTTTAAACTGTTGCGTTCCATACTGTCCCAGCACTAATAAGAAGACAACAAGATATAGGTATATAAATCAAGATACAGGTATATAAATCTTAAACAATGAAGAACAAACAACATTTGATACTAGTGCATCTTTGGTTGCCTCCATTTTAGCATCTGACAAGCCTGGTGTTGAAGGAAAGAAATGTTAGAGATCTACTTGAACGAGCAGTACAAAGAGAGAGAGAAAACAAAATTGGACCATCACTGTGACTGCTGAGAAAGTGGTCAGGGTTGGTCTTCTACCAGAACGGCACACAGAATTACAGAGAAACTATGCATATTTCTGGAGAAACACACGCCTCTCACAAAATAAACCAAATTACAGTAGAAGCAGGCTGCAGAGACAAACAGTAGCAATGGACCAGGAAAAAGAAATACAGTGGATTAGGAATTACTCTGAGCTCCATGAATGTGAATCAGTCCTCAAGACAGAGGAAATGCTGATGGACGTTTTAGGTATGTGATGTGCCAGTAAGACTCGGGAGATGTGATAGAAGGTTATGGAACCAACAGAGACTGCATGAGACATTTCTCCATGTGAATAAGACAATAAGACACAACTTGCACAAAATTATTAATAATTTATATCAATAACCCAGCGGTGATTACAGCTTTACTGCAGCTTTACAGTGCAGAGACACTGAGGAATATTCCTGTAGTGTTGTCACGGAAACCTGCAATATGTAGCTGTGTGATTCTACTGGCGTTTATATCAAACGAGGGAGAACTAAGGACATGAGAGCCAACACATGCATAATCTGTGTTTCTTTACAACTGAAAGAGCTGAGAAAGTTGGAGAGCAAGAACAGCTGGAGTAAATGTTAGAAGGAATTGTGTGCTAGAGTTCACTAATTCCACAGAGATGGACTCTCCTCCCATGCTTAAGACTAACAGAGTGGGAACAGGGCAGACTGGAGAAATCAGGGTACCTTCTGACACACTGCTGATATACTATGAAAGGACTGACTGCTTCTTTAATTCCTTAAGTGCTACATACACATCTTGTGGTCATATCTTTCGCATCGCTACTCATGCTACCCACTACATATTTTTGTTAGTTGTTTTATTATTTAAAATGATGTTTCTGAATTCTGATTTGACTCATGACT